GTGTGTGTCTGTTAGTGTGTATGTGTGTGTCTGACTGTGTGTGTCTGACAGTTTGTGTCTGTTAGTGTGTATGTGTGTGTCTGACTGTGTGTGTCTGACAGTTTGTGTCTGTTAGTGTGTATGTGTGTGTCTGACTGTGTGTGTCTGTCAGTGTGTGTGTCTGTTAGTGTGTGTGTGTGTGTCTGACAGTTTGTGTCTGTTAGTGTGTATGTGTGTGTCTGACTGTGTGTGTCTGTCAGTGTGTGTGTCTGTTAGTGTGTGTGTGTGTCTGACAGTTTGTGTCTGTTAGTGTGTATGTGTGTGTCTGACTGTGTGTGTGTCTGTTAGTGTATGTGTCTGACTGTGTGTCTGTTAGTGTGTGTGTGTGTCTGACAGTTTGTGTCTGTTAGTGTTTATGTGTGTGTCTGACTGTGTGTATGTGTGTGTCTGACTGTGTGTGTGTCTGTTAGTGTGTGTGTGTTTGTTAGTGTGTGTCAGTGTGTGTGTTTGTTAGTGTGTGTCAGTGTGTGTGTGTGTCTGTTAGTGCGTGTATGCGTATTTGTCAGTGAGTGTGTGTGTGTGTATTTAGAAGGCGGGGTGGGACTGGCGCGGGGGGGGGAGAGGGCGTCTGAGTTTTGTCCTGCCTAGGGCAGCACAAAACCAGGATACACCACTGCCTGGAGTGCATTCCTTTTTTTTGGACACCTATGATTTTTTGCTGGAATCGCACCGGGCATCACAGTGATTATATACCTGGAGTGCAAGCACCTTGGATTTATATATATATATAAATATATATATATATGAAATTATTTATGTAATTATGTATATGGACATATGTATATTTCATATTATTTTTATTTATTTATATATACATATATATATATAAAATTTCATTCTAAGTGTATTTTGATATAAATATATATATATATATATATAATAAAAACAAGATGCAGTTACAATAAAATTACACACACATATATATATATATATATATATTAATTATTTTTAAATTTTATATTTCTTTTTTATTCATTATTATTTTTTTTTTTATAATAATATATATCGCCGGGAGCGATCACCCGGCGGCCCGGCAGTGATGGGAGGTATTGTGCGATGCCTTGACATTGAGGCATTGCTGCAATACCATTAGAGCTGCTGGATGTGATCATAAACGCTTTCCGCGCTCTATTGCCCTGCGGTTGTTCTAATTCCTTAAGGACCGTTTTGTGTCTGACATACCTGATACGTCCTTGGTCAGGAAGGGGTTAAGGACCACATGATGATTTATGCTCTCATGCAGTGCACGGCTTTAGCGCCCAGTGACTGCATAGACCGTCATGCAGGAAAGGTGCATATTGCATACCTGAGGGTCCCCTCTGCCAGCTAGTTTCACATTTAGTGGCCCCAGACTGACAGAGGACCTGTACATTGCTTACATTGCACTCTTTAAATACAGCAGAATCTCACTCCAACATGAACCCTCATGTATCTTTTAGTTGTGGCTAAACGTAGTGGCCCCAGACTAACAGCAGGTAGGATTAGAAATCAGATTATTGGTTGGATTATAGGTAAGGTTAGGAGTTGGATTATGGGTCAGATTACAGGTTGGATTAGGAGTTAGATTATGGGTAGGATTATAGGTTGCATTATGGCTCGGATTAGGGGTTTTATTAAGGGTTGGATTAAGGACAAGACTAGGGGAAAGGTATATATGTGGGGTGTCATTGTATTTGAGATCAGTAGCAGAATATATATTCTGTGAATTTCCTCCAAATAAACCATGTGAGAAAAAAACTAATTTCAACTAAGTTTGTGATACAATTGTTAAATGAAAAGTGTCAAAATTATTATTCACAGTGTTACCAAGTGGCCGAAATGTAGTCATCAAGAGCATCAGTGCTAAATGTAAGACATTACTATTTGAGGTTCATACTAAACAGTTTTGTTCAAGTACTACATGAAGAGTTAAAGTTCCTCCTGGCTGGTTTATCAATAAGCAGGCCTGTCTTTTTAGGGAGCATATTTACTGCCCAAAAGGAGACATTAGGAAGAGGTGGCTGCCAGACAGCCAACTAAGTTGATTCACACAACTTCTCATAGGATTTATTATTATATACCATTGCAGTATGAATGTGCCAGCACATGAGGTTAGGTGACCAATCATACATGTTAATCCAAGGGGGCACCCGCTACATATGCCTTTAACTTCTACAACCCAGGAGAGGCTGCATCTTGACAGCTGCAACCTCCATCATAAGGTGAACATTATATGTGCCATGGTTACACCAACAACCTTTCAGGTATTGTTTCCTATGCAACTGCTACAACTACACACACAAGAGAAGAGTCAGCCTAACAGTAGTTTTGGATCTACAAATAAAGCCTCCATATGAACTCCGCAGGTCACCATGCTGGTACTTAAACATAGAGAAGGTTTAGAAAAGCATTGATCGTGCACCACATCCATCATATACTGCTGAAACCAGTGACAATCTCCCCACACAAAATAATGTATTACTCCATCATCAACTCCTCCTGCAACATCAGGACTAGTTGGAATTAAATCACCAAGGCTTTCGGTTTCATGATCATATCCCCAGAAGGTGCTGTGGAGTAAAAAAAAAGAGGTAGGAGTAAGTCACCAGAGACTGACAAGTACCACATGAAGAATGCTGACAAGGACAACAGATGCCATGAAAGACCTCAACAACAGAGGTACACAACCTTAATGTTACTAATTACAAAATGTTAAGAAGCTGAGGGGCTTGAAACCATCTAGTCTTTGCAATGAGGTCAGTGGTTGCACACACCCAGGGTTTCTATATGGCATTACAGTAAGGAGCCTGGTTGAGCACTGGGGTCCACATGAAGCATGGGGTCCTGCAACACTGGAGAAATAGACATATCTCTCAATTTTCAACAGCATTTAGTAGCTAAGCTGGCCCGAATCCCTTACGAGGTAGGAACAACTGACTTATCACTCACTCAGCAGACCTTTGCTAAGAGGTGGTGAGTTCATTTCTTCTGATGCTGAATACCATGCTGAGAGATGAAGTCAGCAACTTATTCATCTTGCTACCAGTGGACTCCAGGGTAGCAACTCTGATGCAACCCGAAAGGTATGCAAATAGGATGATCACTAAGATATGGATTTTGTTTAGTAGTGTCAGTGTTTGTCTGTGTGTATGAATCTGTGTATCTGAGTGTGTGCCAGTATGCATCTGAGTGAGTGTGACAATGTGTATTTATGTATCTGTGGGAGTGTTTTTTTTGAGAATGTGCCTAATGGTGTGTATATGTATCTGAATATTTATGTGTCTAGCAGATTGTATTTGTGTGTGAGTTTATCTGCAAGTACGCGTTTCTGTGTTTGTTTTTTCAGGAATGCATATCTTTAGCTGTGTAAATCTGTGAACATGTATCTATCTATGTGTTTGGGAGAGTGTATTCATTAGACTGGTGCATTCTGTTTCAAAGGAAATGCAATTCAATCGAATTTTGGAGCAACTGGTGGGTCATCTGAATTCCGTAACTTCGAAAAAGCATATGGATGAATACGAAACAAACAAAATGAACAAAAATGGACAAAAGGATGCAAAAATGCACATATCAGTGTAATGCAAAATACAGACATAGTTATGTTTTGCAGTTCACTGATTGGCCTAGTTTTTCTCCCCTTTGGTTCGTCCAAATCATTTTCCCTGAAACATTTGCATCAACAAAATTTGTCCAAG